ATGCAATATATACTGACCTTTGTAGCGCGTCTTATCGCTAATTCATTCAAATCCGTCCAAATCCGTTCGAACCGATTTGCAAATCTTTCTTGGAAACCCTGGTTCGAATCGAAAAATGAAAATAAACACTTTAAAGGAAATCTCAAAATTCAATTTTCTTTACATTTTATTTGATATTCATGAAACGTATAAATTTACATTAAAATGTCATTACAATACAATTTGTATGTTTGCATGATAACTTGAACATGGCAGTGAATGATATATGCCCCCTTCTCTCTCTCTTCCCCCCCTCTCTCTCTCTCTCTCTTTCTCTCTCTCTCTCTCCCTCTTTCACTATTAACAGAAAAGAATGATTAAGAATACATTCCTACAATACGATGTCTTTTGTATACATCAGTTTCTGTTTTCGCTGTTGTTGTTTTTGTGTTGCAATTGGTAATTCGTACAATTTCCAGTTGGAGTATTTTGGTTGCAGTGAAAATACAGCAATTGGCACGAAACTATTTTGGAATAAATCATGTTTACGTCAAATAACAGGGATCTAGGAGTTTAGGAATAACTAAATGATGCAAGTTTTCATTCGTTTATCAAACGATCTGTACTCGAATTGACTCTATATAGAATACAAAATGAATGAACTCATTCGTATGCATCATTTGTATACTGTGTAACATCACACTTCGATTCTTCCATGTAAATAGCTCCACGAGGTGAAATTCCAAGTCCGTTTTCCGAACTACAAGTTCAATATCAATGTGTCTCAAGGGGCATATCCTGTATTCCTGGAAATCTGGGGGCGGGGGAAGATCTTTTTCTTTTCCGGGCATGTCCCCCTCGCAATGTATCCGGGATGTTAAGAAATTAGAGGCGGAGAAATTAGGGTTGGAGCAGACTCTACTTCCTTCATGATTCCCCAAACTTGTCAATTTTCAACAACAAAGCGTTCTCAAAACATATTAATGATGCTATTGATAGTTATTTTTGAAGATGCGACGATAATAATGATAATGCTAATAATAATGCTAATAATGATAATATTAATAATATTGATAATAACGGTAATAATGATAAGAATTATGATAATGATAATAATGACAATAATGATAATGATGAGAATTATGATAAGCACAATAATGATAATAATGATAATGATGATGATAATCATAAAAAATGATGATAATAATGATACCAATGAAGTAAAGATGATGGAGATGATGATAACAAGTTAATACTGTTCTCACCGACGAACTGATATTCAGATTCAGATTCGGATTCAGATTCAGATTCAGATTTTATTGTCCACGTTAAAAAAAAACCCAGAAATTTGGCCTACATTGGTAGGAGATAACAATGAATACCAGTATAAGATTGGAGTGGCCCCTTCGACCCTTGTTCTACCAATGTGCATCTCCATTCCATCTCCTCCACCAAGTCACCTCCGTAGCCTAGGGATCGCCTCCTGGTAGAGCTTCGGTTACCCCTCTCAATCCTCAAGACTGTCAATGTTTCTGTAATTCTAGTCCGAGTGACTAACATCCACGGGTTTAAATGACTGTGGTGATACGACCTCTGTCTACTTTCTATCTTTGACAGGGAAGGTAGTATTGTTTAAAGCGAACCACCATCCGAAACAGACAACATTGTATGCTTATCATGAATACATTATGATCGTTCCCGTAAGATTCTAACGAATTCATGTATAATCTAACATTAAAAGTAAATTTAATAGGTTTGGAAAGAAAATTAAACTGGAGCATAAGAAAATGTGGACCAGTAAAATGTCTGTCTCAACCGGATGTTGTTTAAAAGTGTACCCCATGTCTGAAATGAACGCTAACGTAAACAGAGAGTTATGTTACCATATGTTCTTGTACACAAATGATGAATAATAAATCCTAAATGCTTTTAGAGTATAAAGTTGGTTAGTTAGAAAAGAATAATGTTTATACCATTACTAGATCCAAAAGGATCATTGTAAGATGATAAGGCATGAGTTTAGTGAGGTAAATGAATATCTCTCCTGTGCCACCCCCGCAAAATAAAATTGTCGACCCAAGTATAACTCATAGATGCCTGAATAAATAATATGCAACAAAACACAAGCAAACTTGTCTTTGAAAAATACAATTACTATGTGATTGGGTATTCTGACTATTACGTCACAATGGACTCCTCGCTTACGTCATCGATGTTACTTCTATGAAAAAACAAACACAAACACATATCGGGTGACTGTTTGTTTCTATTTTAGGACACATATTAGGCAAGCTGTAACTTAGGAACGGAAGTATGACGAAAGGACTGCTTACACAAAACTTTTAAACCGCTAAGATGTTGATGCAATTAAGTTTCGTCTTGAGTAATCTTTTGAAATACGTTTGATTGATGAGGTTGAAATTATTTCAGACAGAAGAAATGTAACGAAATTTCACATTATTCTGTTAGAGCGAGTGAGTGAGGAAGATAAACAGAGAGAGAAAGACTGAAAAAAGAACACGCAGACGAGAGCTACAGGAATAGAAACGATGAGTATGGTTATGATCATAATAATGAACGAAAAGAAGGTATTGACTTTCTTGAAGAAGAAAACAATTCAAATTTGAAGACAAAAAATCAATGTTTTCCTTATTTCACTAGTGAAGTGTAACTGTTTTGCCAAGCACAATCATTATAAAACACGATAAATAGGCTTCAGCTCTTATTTCTAAGTTGTCCTTGTTTTAAATATTAGGTCTTCAGTATGGGGACGTAACCAACCATTGTATCGTTAAAAATAAAGTTGAGTTCAGGTCATGCGGTTGCATTGTCAAAGAAACGTTGTGGAATCGATCAGAAAAATTTGATCATCTAGCATAATGATGTATACTGCAAGGTTCTGGAATCATCAAAATGATAAGAAATTTGGCCCAGTCTTTGTAAAGTTACAAGCACTATACACAGAAAGATGTATATGGGACTACTCGAACATGGTATAACAATCCGTCCCGATGATGATGATGATGATGATGATGTTACATGCGATATTTAGAATATAAAGGCATTTGAAGAGCCATGTTTTTTCAGGGATCATTTTGTTATTTGATGTTCTTCCACACTTGCATAATACAATGATAACGCTTTAATACAAATTATGTTTCACCTCTTCCAAGAACTCAACCTTCTCTTTAAAGCTAGGCCTGAAATCAAGTCTGCATGACATCCAGGCATGGAAAGTGCAGTGTTGTTGCTCAGTTCATACCATGACCACATTTGTGTTAGCACTCAGTGATTTATTACAACTGAACAAGCGCAAGCAAGTCGTAAATCATATAACAGTTATAATTAAATCTCTTGGTAAACATGGTATTATTCGTGAAGCAGATTTTGATTGGAAAGCTAGAAGGGTCTAGTTCATTGTAAAGCATCCAATGAATTATGATTATTATTGTATCATCTTATTATATGTTGATGGCCACCTACTCCCTTTTTTCTTTCTTTTCCTCGCCTCTATTTTTATGTTTCCCTCTCTCCTTCCCTCTCTACCTCTCTTACTCTCCTATATCTAACCCCTTCTCTGTCTCTGCCAATCAATCTCTCTCTCCTATCTCTCTGTCTCTCTCTCTCTCTCTCTCACCCTCTCCTTATCCTATCTCTCTCTTTCTCTCCTATCTCTCTCTCTCCTCTCTCTCCCTCTCTCTCTCTCTCTCTCTCAGTCTCTCTCTCTCCTCTCTCTCTCTCTCTCACTCCTATCTCTCTCTCTCTCCTCTCTCTCTCTCTCTCTCTCTCTCTCTCTCAGTCTCTCTCTCTCCTATCTCTCTCTCTCTCTCTCCTCTCTCTCTCTCTCTCTCTCTCTCTCTCCTATCTCTTTCTCTCTCCTCTCTCCCTCTCTCTCAGTCTCTCTCCTATCTCTCTCTCTCTCTCTCTCTCTCCATCCACTCCCCTGCCTTACTTGCAGTCTTTACTTCCATCACACTCTATTATTTTGAGCCTTCACCTTTACACCTAATTGTACTTCTAATTTAAAGATAAACTCCAGTACTGGTAAAAAAAATAAAAAAAATTCTCACAGAATCAAACGAAACTTACACTGAATGTTCAAGATTACAAATAAATGACATGTGCCAAACAATTTCGGAAGAAAATGTATACTGGCTGAGTAATGAGCATAGAAAGACAAGGAAACCAAGGTAGTACCATCCCCGACACCATGTGTGTTGTCCCATATATAGCTTTCTATGTGAGTGTTTGTTACTTTACCAAGACTCGGTCAAATTTATTATGATTTTGATGACTCCAGAACCTTGCAGTGCACACCAATACTTACATGCTACATGATCAACTGTTTCTGATCCTTTCACAATGCAATCGCATTACCAGTACTAAAGTTTATCTTTAATAGTAGACTCACATGTGCTCCTTAATATTATATGCATGAATAATCTACGATTGCATACTGTTTACTTGTATTATAATGATTTATAGTGTATTTTTTAACATGTATTACTAAATACTTTTGCAAAAATATTGTAAAACATGCAGCTCCTGTGCCCTGCTGCGATGCATATTCCTTGAATAAATTAATCATTATTATGACGAACATAGTAGATGAATCAGGTGACGTTGTATTCAAATAACTCAAAATATTACTATTACTATTACTTCTACTGTTATGATTACTATTATTATTACTTTTTATTTGACTTTATTTATCGATATTACTATTACTATTATTTTACCATTTAATAATAATAATAATAATATTTAGCTTTTATATAGCGCTTAATACAAATGTCTCTAAGCGTTTTACATTACTTTATATTACTAGTATGATTAATATATACTAGTTTTACTATTATTACCATCATTACCAATATTACTAGTACTTGTACTAGTAATAGTACACTTATTTTTACTTTTAATATTACCATTTGTTATTCTTACTACTATTAGTGTCATCATTATCATAATTTAATTGTAATGATTATAATTATCATCTTTTTGTATCCATATCTTTCCAGTGTAAAGTGAAGGCATACACGCAGTGTTCAGGTGGCAAGGCTCGCAGCAGGGGACGGTGGTTGTGCGATTGCCCCGAGGGATATAGTTGTGACTATTCACCAGAGACTCGAGCGTTCCTCTGCATGCCTGACGACCCAACCAGGTACACAAGACGCATCATATGGTCTCGAGGAGTGCTATAATGAGGGTACGACCTGCTAACAAAAAGGGAAACCCGCTTTTAAAAAACGACCTGCTACCAAAAAGGGAAACCCGCTTTTAAAAAAACGACCTGCTACCAAAAAGGGAAATCGCTTTTAAAAAGTTAAACCACTTTATAAGAAACTCGTTAAAGAAAACTACATTTCAAATACTCAAACACTTGGAAAGTACAAGCTTTTAATTAACTTTTTGGTAATCTCATAATGGTCTTGAAGAATTGTATTAAAAAAGGTACGACCTAGTACACAAATTGTAAAATTAGAAGGTTACGGCACTCAGTTAAAAGTTCCCTTCTTTTTCTTGCTAGCTCTTAACGAATATTAGTAAATATTCAATAGTAAGGTCATTAAGTAAATAAGATAACACTTGTAGAAGTTTTGTTAAGTTGTAACATATCAGTTTATCTTCCATAATAGAGTATCACATGTAGCAAGACAGGTTTCACACTTTTTAAACTCTCTCAAGTACTTGTTATCGAAGTACTTTCCGAGTGTTCTCGCAGCATGTTGCATTTTATACCTTCAACCAAAATTAAAATGTTTGTGCGGATCAAGAAAGTTTGCTTCATGCAGAATATCCCAGATATATATTTATATATATTCAATTCCAAGGGTTTCTTTATAAAGAGGGGGAATTGACTTATCTACTTTTTAGAAAGATTCAGTTTAACTGAAAGATTTTGCATTATGTTGACACACACATTATGAAATTCAAAAAGCGTTTTAGAAAGTATTGTAGTGAAATCAAACACAAGTCTTATCTAGTTTTGTACATCATTAACAAATCAATACGTTTTTAAATGATAATAATGTTTCTGACATTCCTTTCTTGTTATGTTTGCATTATTATTTTGCAGCGATTACGATTCGGTTATTAACCGGATTGCCTGAACCCACCAATCTAAGATGACGGGTAACCGTACTTTCAACATTCGATGGATCCGTTAGGTCATTTATTCATCATATCTTCATTATTATTCCACTTGGTATACCTTCGCCTGAACTGTCGACCTTTGACCTTTGACATCTGTATGTGTTACATTAAAAATATACTAATATTTGTGTTCAAACACGGTTGTTCAATTAATGGACTCATGGCATAGTATAAATTCAGTTGATTCTTTTTACGGAATGTGGTCATCTCCCAAAGTCCCCAAAATAAAATTGTATTAACAAACTTGTTGTATTTGCACGTATATGAAATTATATTGCCTCTACATTAGAAGCAGAGGAAGGGGGAGGGGGGGGGGGGCAACAGTCAGTTTTTTGGAAAACTCCTTAATCCCATATGTTCTGTTTATTTTCCTATTTTGTAACTATTAAAAACAAATTTCCTTTTGATTTTGACCAAAATATGATGCCCAGAAATCCTTATTCATTTCAAATGTATGATTTTCTTGTATATAATTCCATGATATTTCTTGGCACTTTGCCAATTATTGCAAATTATGTAAATAATCAAGATGTTTACGTTTTGTCAAGCACGCATTTAGTTGAGCTATTAATCAAATTCATGGTTAGGAGAGTAGGCTAACAACGCACCTATTTAATTTACTAAAAATATATTTGTTCTTCAGTACTAAAATGGCATTGGATATGAAGTAGAGTGTTATAGTATAGTCAATGGCAAATAACACTTTTAGTTATTAAAGCGTCTATTAAAGTTGTTGTGTTTTTGTTCTTTGTTTTTATTTTAACTGTTTAATATGTTGTTGCAATCTATTTAATCGAAAGCTAATATTGTATATCATTCATTATGTCTGTTACTATTTAATAGCTCGGCCATATTTGTGTTAAGCAAGCCATTTTGTGAAGAATCTAAACTACTAAACCTATGGAAGTTAAACGTCATTGATATGTTTCCAAACGTGCAGTATGCATAAGATCTTATAACCCGCTACATGGCGTGACGTCATTTCGAAGGCATTGTTGCTTATCAAGTCACTAACGCATTCTTACTAGCGCGTAAATAACAGCGCAAGTCACTGACGCAGTCTTGCTAGCGCGTAAATAACAGCGCAAGTCACTAACGCAGTCTTGCTAGCGCGTAAATAACAGCGCAAGTCATTGACGCAGTCTCTTTTGTAGCGCCTAAATAACAGCGCAAGTCACGGACGCAGTCTCTTTTGTAGTGCGTAAATAACAGCGCACGTCACTGACGTAGTCTCTTTTGCAGCGAGTAAATAACAGCGCAAGTCACTGACGCAGTCTCTATTGTAGCGCGTAAATAATAGCACAAGTCACTGACGCAGTCTTGAGTTAGGTACATGACGCCTCGTGTGCAGTGGATGCATTACGCAATAGTTAGAAATGGCTCGATGGCTTGTTTATAATATCATATTCCAAGCAACGTCGATGAACAAGATATGAAAGGATGATTGTGTAAAATGAAAAAGTCAAATGGTTTTAATCATTTTAGCGAAGATACAAGGGATCTCATTGGTTCGAGCCCCGGCATGACATACATGTACTGAACGTGCATGTCATTTATACTCACAACCAAGAAGATTGGAAATGTGGGATTGACAAGATTCCAAAAGCGATCCTAAACATGCTAAATGAATAACTTACACCATCATGGGTATGGTGTGTACAATGTGTATTGTATTTAAAGCGCTTTGGAGACATTAGTATCAAGCGTAATATCATATACCCTCCAAGGCGTTAATTCTACGATCTTATCGCGGTTAACTATTAAACAAGGCAATAACATTACTAGTTCTGACCGTTCAATTCAATTAATGTCTGGTATCTTTTTCGAGAAATTTATCCTAAAGATTAGAGAAGGCCTTCTATTATTTATTAAATATCGATGATTTAAACTTCCAAAGCACAAATAAAAAAATAGCCCACTCAACATGGTCAGTCGAGCTTTAGTCCATACGTTGATTTAGATTTTCTAATAAAAATGCATTTTAATGTTGTGTATTATCATACATGGTGTATCTTAGGTTTGACATTGTTTGTGACGTAAGCATTCTTCATTTGTTTGCTCTTTGTTCATGGTGGTTCATTATATTTCAAAGAAATAAATGTTATTTGAAAATAAACAATTTTAAACTTTCAGACCTTTCCTGTTGTTTTTCCCCATCAGGTGATTTCTGTCCGTCCGTCTCTCTGTCTCTCTGTCTCTCTCTCTGTCTCTCTCTACCTCGATCTCTCGCTCACACACACAAACACACACTATCTCTCTTTCTCTCTTGGGTTCTCCTACTCTCTCTCTCTCTCTCTCTTTCCCAATCTATCCCAATTTCTCTTGACGACTATCTATCTAACTCTACCCCATCTCATTTTTTTTCCTCTCTCTTCATCACTTCATCCCTCCCCCTCATCTCTCTCTCTCTCTCTCTCTCTCTCTCTCTTACTGCGATTAAGATGTGTTCTCAATAAACTCAAGAAAACCTTCCAATTCAAATTTTAAACTCTCTCATCTCTCTCTTTTTTCTTCTTCTCTCTCTCTCTCCATTTAAACTCAGAAGACATACTTAAACTACTTTTCCCTCATCATCAGGGTCAACGAAAATTATTAAAATGAACAATAATTATATTGACTTTCTAACTACATTTATTTCTGGAGTACTAATTCAAAGTGGCATATATACTAATTGACACCTTTTCCGTAATAACCCCGTGGTGTAGTAGTATTAGACAGGTGTCAAATCGTCTTGCTGTTTAGATTCCATCCGCTCCGCCTTGTCCTGTTAGGTGATGAAGAAGAAAAAAAAATATATATTTTACTTCATTCAAATAAAAATTAATTCATTTCTACGACAACTCCCAATATATGTAACATATATGAGAGGAATGGCAAGGCCAAAGACGTATGTGAGGTACCGGTTTTGTGGCGTAGTGGTTCGATCACTAGTGCTATGGTCACATTACCCAAAAGTAGCCTGCTCGGCGGCCGAGCGGCGAGTTTTTAACCAATGCTGCCAGGCGGCTGCCCGGCCACCAAGCGGCGGCCGCCCAGGCACCGCTCGTTTTTAGGGCATCGCTCGGTCGCCGCTGAAGTTTTAGCGCGGAGTTAAAATTTGGGCGGCGCCTGCTCACTTTTCACTCGCCGCCCAAAATACGCTCGGTGCCTGGGCGGTCGCCGCCCGGCACCGACCTAATTGCTGGGCGATGCCTAATTTCAAGCAGCGACCGAGCAGGCTACTGATCGGTCGGTCGCTGCTCAGATTTGTGACCATAGCTTTAGCTCTCAATCAAAGGGTTAAGGGTTCGAATCTCAGCCCCGCACAACCGTCTTTTGGCTTGCCATTAATCCACATTTCCCACTCTCCACCAAGGTGTCACATGGGTACCCTGGCTGACACGAAAGTCGTTGTAGTTGGCTCAGGATTGTGAGCGTCTTAAAAATGGCGCCCGACTTGAATGCTCCCAAGGGAGTGGGGAATGTTCATAGATTTATGCCTAGGAAAGCTTTAATCCGATGACCGGAGTACCCGCATAGCGCTCTATAGAGTTGTATTAAATGCATTATAAACCCACACTATGTTAATATCATCATATGAAGGACTATTCCCCCACTTGATTTAGGTAGAAATGATTAATATATAGTTAACAACTTAATTATTCATACACCTTGTACATTTGAAACTTGCGTTTGTTTATCGTAACTTAAAGCCCCTCTAAGGTGTTAGGAGCCCCAACATATTTTGATGGCTCAATTTCAATTAAATTGTATCATGGAAGTGAAAGAGGATGTCATTTAAGACACAGTGCTTGAAGACGAATATTGATGAAAGAGTACACCATTTAGGATTTCTGCGTACAACAGAAAACCCAAATTATGTATTCTATTATCAATATTTGTCTTCAAACACATTTTGGGGAGGAAATCTTTGAAGAAGCGTGTCTTAAATGAAATGTTTGCACATTTTTGGGCTCCCAACACTTTTAAATATAGAGGGGCTTTAAAAATGATAAGTGAGCTTGTTGAATTCGGGCCTCCGTTAAATACTTTAAGATGTAAGCTCGAAAACATTAATCGGGACCAATAAGTTTCCATATACAATAAACAAAGAAAAAACTTGGTTATTGTATGAATAATTTAGTTGTTAACTATTTAGCCACAAACAGAAGAGTAAAATGATGTAGGAATGGATGGTAACAAATGGAATCCAATTTGGAATACGAATGTGTGAGAAAGGGGATAAGGAATGATACGGGTACTCAAGTGGGTGGAAAGAGAGAGAAAAGGGGAAAACCATGATAGAGACAAACATTAAAGGAGATAACAAAGACAAACGAATGCATAGAGACAGAGAGAGACACAGAGAGAAAGAGAGAGAGAGAGAGAGAGAGAGAGAGAGAGAGATAGAGAGAGGGAGGGGGACTGACAGAGAGAGAAATATAGAGACAGAGAAGGACAGAGAGACGGAGAGGCAGAGAGAGAGAGAGAGACAGAGAGACGGAGAGGCATAGAGAGACAGACACAGGGTGAGACAGAAACAGACAGATGAGACATACATAGAGACATATAGGCAGAGATAGAGGGAGAGGCAGAGAGAGACAGAAACAGAGAGAGACAGCGAGAGACAGAGAGATAAAGCGAGAGAGAGAGATACGGACACAGAGAGGGACATAGCTATTTGGGATGGGATGGGGGAAAATAAGACAGAAACAAGTTTAAGATGGACGCAAAGCATGGAATCAGGCATACACATACGGTAATGAGGTGATCGCAAAACAACAGAGGGCGGACTACAGTGACGGGGAAAGAGTCACATGGCATTCGCATTCGTTGATTCATGAAAGAAGAAGAAGAACAAGAAGAACAAGAGGAAGAAAAAGAACAAGAAGAAGAACAAGAAGAACAAGAGGAAGAAGAAGAAGTAGAACAAGAAGAACAACAACAAGAAGAACAAGAACAAGAACAAGAAGAAAAAGAAAAAGAACAAGAACAAGAACAAGAAGAACAACAACAACAACACCAAAAGCAACAAAAACAAGGACAACAAGAACAAAACAAGAAATAGAAGGAAAAGGAAAGAAAATATGAAGAAAAAGAAGAAGATAAAGGAGGAAGAAGAAGTGGAATTTCTAGGGGTGCATGAATACAAATGTGAATAATACGGTAAAGATTGTTATGGGGAGGGAAGAAAGGACTTGCTCCCTATAGTTCTCCTGAATATGGCACTGATAAATAATTCTCACCTTGGCAGAACGCGACATTGCCACCACGACGGAAACAAAGACAACCTGGAGCTGTTTCACATGCTGTAAACAAAAGAAAAAACGATTGCACCCTCGAGTAAATAATTTAGTTTTTCTATTACTTTATCAAATTTAATTTGCTGTCCTTTTTAGAACAATAAGAAACCCGAAGCGACACAAACATACGATTTACAATCAACGATTTTTTTTTTATTTTTTTTTTAAATTATCAAATAGTTTACTAATTTGTTTTTAAAAGAAAATTGTTAATGATAATAATTATGATAATTAATAATAAAGCTAAAAATGTTTCAAGGTGTTTTACATCACTTTGTCTCTCAAACGTATCTGACATGAATATCGAAATTAACGACTTTTTACAATAATGAAATTATAAAACACAAAATACAAAGTACCACAAGTTAGCAGAATTGGAACTACTTTAAGAAAAACTTACTAGTATGCATTTTCAATGGCCTCGTTAGTCACTCGTAATGTGCGAACATGACCATGAGGTATTATGTTATCTTAACGTATATGATTTACATGGGGTATACAATAGGACAGGGCTTCTCAATTTCCAGACCGTCCGCGGGGCAGGCATGGCAATCCGGAAAGGGTTGGGGGACAGAATCCACCCGTCCACTATCTTCTTTGAACCAAATTAATATAATTACGACCAAAGGGCCCCATGAATACCATACTGCGCCTCGTGTCGAAAATGAAGATTTTGCCATTAAATATTAACTGTACACAAGGCAGAGTTGTGACTTTGCTGATTATGTAAATAGTTAGTTAGTAATCATTCTAAAACATCATTTTGAAACATAATTATATAGATATGGAATTTCATGGACATATGCTTTATGAGATGTTCTATTAATATGCCACGGTTGATAATTTGTCGTCATGCCATGGCCAACATAATTAAATGGGGCAATTAAGAAATGTCTTCAGAGAAGGGGCATATCCCACATCTCGATCGGTAGCCTGTTCTTAAGTGTTGGGATTGCTAAGCGGAAGGCACGGTTTCCGTAATTTGAAAGTGGACAGACTGATCTACTGCCCCTGGCTTCTTTTCCATTAGCCTTTAAGAACACTTATTTAATATGCGCCTTTCAAACAATATTTCATTGTAAATGAGAAATGAATGTAAGTTTGATGTCAAGTTTCTTTAAAGACGGTTTGCACTAGCTTGGCCAGGGGGGTTAGACCTACCTGCCAGGTCACTGACAGGCGTTTATCTCATTAATTCAGCTCTCAATTAACAAAAGAAAAAGGGATCATGGGGGTCTAAGATGCACCGATTAGGCATTGTTTGCTATATAGAGGGCGCAAGTATAGCTTTAAGTAGTACAATGGGGCTTAAATGAAAGCCACGTCCTATGCAAACATTTAACGTATTTAACGTAATGTGTACGTGAAGCATGAACGCAAGGTACTAGTTTTTGAAACAGTAAGTGCGAAATAATAATTATCCTGATGATAATATAAATGGTAGATATGAGATAGGAACCCATTGACTTACCCTTAAACTTCTTCATGTTGGCCCCTCTTTTCTCAGCGAGTAACAGGTCCTGCATGACTGGATCTCTCTTGAGAAACATCAAGGCCTCAGCGTCCTGATCGTCGTCGAGCTCGTAAGGGAATGCCGTGGTCATTCCTACGACCATCAGGGCGATGAGACAGATGAGGAAGAATTGTGAAGCCATGATGTCTGGAACGAAAACACGAGATTCCTAATTATAGTAATTAAAATTGTATATAGCTTATTGAGCTATAGCCGAAAATGGAAACATAATTCGTTGAACACCAATTGAAAGTCCGTCCCATAAATTGAAAGTGCCGTCGAGTTAAAAAAAAAATGATGTCAGTCTCTCATCTTTATTATTGCTCTAGCTCATCTATTATCAATCCAAAGTCACCTACCGTTAGCAGATATAAGTCTTCTTTTTTCCTCTTTAAAAAGTAATCGTTGTGACAGATTGATTTCTGTTATCAACGTACCAATAATCTTGATACATGTCCTACATTCCAACTTTATGTACTCTTCATTAGTAAATAGCAGCGGGTTTTGGTGCCCCTCTTTTGGAAGATAAATTGGCAAACATGACATACCCGTGCCCATGCATAGTGTTCTCCGTTTTGAAAATTGTCTACACCCCCCCCCCCCTTTTTTTTTTAAATCCTGCACCCACCCCTTCTTTACGTGAGCGTGTACATGTCAAAGGATTGGAACTTGAAGTCCTACAAATGCAATACACCTCTGCCAATTTGAAACAAATTCAAAGATGCTATAGCTTAGAGTTCAATGGATGAATAGCATGCATTTGTTAGAACTATTATGTCCCTTACTATTATACAATGTAGCACAACACAAACATTTATTTAGGAATAAACACGATAACAAAGACTTTCGAAAACACAACTCGAAGGCAACTTCTGTAGAACTTCTGTACTCCTATAGAAATAGTGATCGGATTGCGTGATGCGTCATTATAATGTTCGCATACTTCTAAAGGTGGCAAACTATTTAAACTGCCTTACTCACTAGGTTGATTTTTCCAAGTAGTAATTATGTCACCTCCCTGACTTTTCAATTTCAAAACTCTTTCCGATCGTGTTACGTCCTACCATACTGTCTACTTACCGAGATTGATGTAGGGTATCCTTGATAGCTTGTTCTTCTGAGACCTTCTGGTAGTGTTCCTAGACGAGTTGTGTTGTTCACTGTTAACATTCAGCGTATTTATACAAACTTTCAAGACGTCCATAGTCATGGATGGACAATTAAGAAAACACTAATTAACCGACCTCCTATGAACCTGATGAACAAAGATTTTAGAAGAAATGTTTCTTGAGTTGTCATGAAAGATTGATTGGAATATGAAAACAAACAATGTTTACAGCCATAAACCACGGGCCACCTCATACCGGTTGTTAGATCAATAAAATGCCAAATCTAGTCTCGATATTTGTATTTAGTCAGCAGGGGTGCTAACCGTTATTAGAATATATACATTCTAAAGGTTTTTAGTAGGTAACGTACGGCTGGCAAAATGGAGTAGGCACGCCAGCATGCCATATTTACAGCAAAGTTTATGGTACTTAGGAACTTAGGTTTTGACTGCTATGTTTCATGTTTATGAATTTTGTTTTACATGAAAGGGATTGTTCTCTTTATCGACTAATAAAGAGGTTAAATGGATAATAACTACCTGACTTTAGTAATTTGCTATCAAAATATGAACATAATTTGGAAGTTACGAGCTTTTTTAATGCCAACGGCCTAGTCTGCTGAACGCAATAATGTCCGTCTGCGTTCAGCGGAACGGCGCAACGCGCTTAGTCTGCAAGCACAAACCCTGGTCAGTCGTAAAAGTGAGTCTGCACTATAAGACTACCATAGGCCAAGTACTGTAGCTGCTCCTGACACGAGCACAAACCCTGGTCAGTCGTAAAAGTGAGTCTGCACTATAAGACTACCATAGGCCAAGTACTGTAGCTGCTCCTGACACTGACACAGCCAGTAGGTAGCTGGGCTAGACTTCTCTCAAGGCACAATGATTTTTTTTTAAAGTGTCAAGTTAGGGTCTGTGCCTGCAGACTACAACGCGCTTACGCTATAACTATAATACGACTCATATCCTAAAGATACGTTTATTGGGAATCAGCACTGGGGGTCGCATAGTTATTGTCATATCTTTTCCTAGGTTTCACGCACTGAATAGCTTTAATTAACATCTCAGCAGGGATATGTAATACCAAGGCGCTTTATAGCTCCTTGATAAAACAAACTGCGTAATGGATCGTTTCGTTATCAGCTTATAACTAGACCTATAAACACGCGACAAATATGACTGACAAAGTTACTTCCGAACAAAATGTTGTAAGGGCCAATTGTAGAAATGTTTATATGAAATAAGAATAGTTTTACAACTGACTCCGATGATTTTTTTCTTCTCACAATTTGTTTGATAGATTCAATTACGTTGTATCTACGAGTTTGATATTAAATGTTTACTGCTGTTAGTACATGATGGTATGTTGGGTAATATGTGTACATAAGTCGAAATTGTAATCGTATGTGCTACGACATGCATGCTGGTCTAAAGGCATATTCTTGTTTGTATGATAATAATGTTATTACGATATTGTTATTATTATTATTTGGTTTCAAAAGCGCTTTTAACAAAGTGTATCACAGCGCTTATGAATCATTTGAATAATAATATTCTCCTCTCATTTTAAAACTCTTTGTGTTACTTTTCTGCCTCTTCATTTCCGTATTCCAATTTTACGATTACTTTTAAAATAGATGATCTCAAGACTATTTGTATCCGTTCACCTATGACCACTTTGGTCTTAAGGAAAAGGAAGAGATAGGGAGGGTGGATTTGTTGAGCTTTGTAATGAAGGGGGGAGGGGGGTATGTAGATTATGTACAGGATTTTGTTTTCGCTCTTTATGTTAACAATGTAAGAGCAGTGATAATACAAAGACACATAATGTACAACTCTTGTTAACTTTTGTTCATTCTAAAATTAACATTGATAAGTATTGTAATTGTAGTTTAAATGTAAATGAGCTGAGAATTATATCTTCATTGCATGATCTTGATGATAACCTGCATGCACAGGAATATGAAACTCTAACTTCTTATGTGCACTAGGTTCTTACAAGACATGGTTAAAAAGGTTCCAGTGTTTTAAAAAGTAAAAATCTTTCACTTTTCGGCCAAATCTCAAAATCAGTAACATTTTGAGGCATAAAAATATATCATTAACAAATCATTCTTCAGATGTACCAATGTCATTTTTTTTTAATCACAAAAGATATGTTTATTTCATGTATCTACCTTGTATCTGAAGGCCCAAATGGAAATCAGTCTTGAAACTGTTTGGAATTTTAACCGTGTATCAAAGAAGATATAAATTCATTCAATTCAATTCAGATATAATTGAAAACTCTAGTTGTATTTACAGCACTTCAGAGATGCTTGCACAAGAAAATTTACAATAACAGAGATACTTTAATGACATTTGTGGCGCCTCAAGTGTTTGTAAATGGTTTGTAACACTTTTCAACATGCTTTCATTTAGCTGCACTCATTTAAAGCACAGTGCACAATGCTGAAGAGGTTCTTTTCTCGGTTACATCGGACGATGGTGATGTAGATGTAGATGCCTGGGTCTCGACTCTAGAGGGCGCTGTTTTGCCTGCACTGATCGCAGTGAGGTCGTCTTTATTCGTAGACTGTTCGTAGTTCGGTTCGTTGATGATCACAGGGGCTCTGACTTTTTCATCAGGACATGTGCGGGCGTCATCTCCTATAGAGTCGTACAATAGTGTATTGGGACCAATATGGAAGCATCGTAAGCGTGAATAATTCCTGTTTTATTGTGTTTTCTTATACACTGTCGCTCATAAAGTTGGAATATTTTAGTTTTACCCCAATTTATGGAATTATTTTAATAGTTGATAAGCATAGTAGCATGCACATGATTTAGCAGTCACGCAAAACACACATTGGCAAATTGTTATTCAATAAAATCTGAGAGTGTATACTATTATCTAGATCTATTATTCTTAAATTATTTTTTAAATAATTCCATCGATTGGGGTAAAACAAAATATTCCACCTTTATGAGCGACAGTGTATATATATATATATATCAGGACAACTATCCCCTGGACCACCACCCCGGATTACTACCCCTAGGGCAATTACCCTGTAGGACGGCTATACCCCCGGGACAATTACCCTCTAGGATGAGTTTCCAATTGCTAACTATCCCCTAGGACAACCACCCTCCAGGGCAAATACCCCCGGACAACTGCCCCTAGGACAACCACCCTCTAGGACAACTACCCTCGGACAACTATACTCCCAGACAACTACCCCCTAGTATAGTTGTCCGAGGGTAGTAATCCTAGAGGGTGGTTATACTAGGGATGGTTATCCGGAGGGTGGTTGTCCAGGGGGTAGGTGTCCTAGAACCCTCTATGTCAATTAAGAGAGAGTTTATAGTAGGCCTACTACGAACTTAAATAAAGTTGAGTACAATGCATGGATTCACTATGTTGAAAGAAACAGTCTAGAATCAATTTGGCAAAGGTGATTATGTTTTACCCACCAAATGATGTATACTGTGGAGTTTTGGAATAATAGAGATTTAGGAAATCTACTCAGTCTTGCTGAAGGTCACATTCACTGCAAACAAATCGGTTATGATGGGACTTCACAAAATATTTTTTCATGAGAAATTTCTTTAATAATTTTGTTGAGTTCTTGAAAAGTACAGGCAGAAAATGATAAAGTTCAAACATTATTGTTCATCTTTTCCATTGCAGAACTCATCCTATTAAAATGGAGACGGACGATAGCTTAATCATGCTTGAATAGACATGTTTAAAGTAACAGAATGAATCGAAATTTAAGTCAAATGATAAATAATATATATACAAACAGTTACTAAACAGATGCTAAGTCCTGATTATATGCGTATTCAAGGTTCACGGTTCAAGGTTCAAGTTCAAGGTTTAAAGTTCAAAGTTCAAGATCACATACCTTCATCTGAAGCTGAGTCTGAAGCTGAGTCCGAAGCTGAGTCTGTGTCGTCATTATTGGTCTGGTTTGATCGAGCAATCACAAAGTGTGTCATCATCCTACCCTTACCTTTGATCTCCATCCCACCTCGGGCCTCGCATTCGAACCCTTTACCCTTGATCGCTCTAGGAACCAAGAAACAATTATAACAATCAAGCTTGGTATTATAAAAAGAATAAACATGTTTGCAACTCCTCTCGCAATTCAATTAAACGTCATTTTCAATTTCCTTATTTATTATATCCGATATAAATCATAGATGGATTACGCAATACTTCTTTGTAATGTCCGCACGTTGCAATAGGTGATATAGTAGGCCATTGAAATGGCCTTAGGTTGATATTTCGAAAGTATTTGCGATTGCCATGAATCTTGTATTTAAGATTAATTTTGCTCGTGTATATCTCTAACAAACCCCTCACAGTAACATGTTTCGTTTGTAACTAGCGCAAACACATTACGCAACCCGAATGGAACACCAAGGGGTAATATTCTGGGTAATTTTGCTATGAAAAATAGTATTTTTAAACAAAAAAATCACTTGACGTGTTACGTACAGTGACGTACACGGCAGCAGTAAAATATTTGACGAATTAAATCCCGGAGCAAATATCGCGTATTTTAATATCGACTCACTGTCCCACCCTAGTGTGAAGAAACCTCTTACGTACGCCTTACCTGTAGAAGGGCTAATGTGAACTCACCTGTAGGTAGAAGGGCTAATGTGAACCTTTCCCGGTACACTGTGGCTCTCCATTCTCGATGCCGTGTTCACAGTATCGCCAAACAAACAGTATCTAGGCATCTTAACACCCACAACACCAGCTACTACAGGCCCGGTGTGGATACCCACTCGAATCTATGTTGATGACAAAAACAAGGAAACAATTAAGAATTCAGCCTTTAAGGTATTAGTTTTATTTGCCGAAAGGCTTTGAAATCAAGCAATAGCGAAAGGAATGTTGAGAAAAAAATAAAGAAAGAAACAGAGAGGGCCGAGAGAGAGAAAAAAACAAACTATGAGGGGTGGACGTAACGGGTAAAAGAGGGAGATAGACAGAGAAAGACAGGGAAAGATGAAGAGAAAGGGAGAGAGAGAGATAGTGGGAAGAGGAGAGAGAGAGAGAGAGAGAGAGAGAGAGAGAAGGGAGAGAAGAGATGAGGAAAGATGGATTGGGTAGACGGGGAGGGGCGCAAAACTTAAACAGATTTTTTGAACAACCATACTTCTTCGTGATTATACTGAAATACAGACAAAGGTATTCCTAGTATTAAATCAGCATTTAAAGTAAGGAGGAGTGGTATCATCTAGAGAGAGATACAACTTACACAAATATACCTCTTCCCTAACAGTAATTTGTTTTAAAGTGCATACATTGACCTCCCTGTAATAACTGATTTTGAAACCAATTGGTGTTTGATGATTCTCTTGCCTGACTACTAAACAAGTATGTATATGCGTGTAATTAAGCAACCAGGAGACCAACGGTTTTAAGTCCTCTCAGATGGACTTTGTAATTGTAATGACGGTTAATACCTTAATTACCAAAGGGCAGGAGTGCATTAGCTTGGTTTCGAACCCGGGACCTCCCGGTAACGAGACAAATGCTCTACCACTGAGCCATCGCGTCCCCTTTAACAGTCTGAACTATACTTAGATACCGTTACTATATTCTAGTATCATCCTACCTGTATTATCTCTCCGGTGACAGGCGATGAGATGCTCTTAACCCCTTCAACCTGCCCGAGACCAAAGCATGCCACCTGTTCAGCATGAGTTTCATTAGGGATAGGCAAGCCTCCTACCGTCATGTAGGCATCCCCGATGGTTTCAACCTTAAATAAACGCAATTTATTTTAAAAGTGTTTATACCGTAAAATAACGATCATTAACACATAATGTTCCCCCTAAGGAATGCACGTAAGTATTGCATTTGTGTTTAATTCATGGTAACGTTAAAGTTTAATACTCAAAACCTAAGTGAAAATGGTGAAGGAAAGTGCTAAAAAGATAAGGCATTTTCAATTAGAAATTCGACTCCTTATTAAAGCAGAAAAATATCAATCATATGAGGTAATGTACAAATAGCTGCGAAGGTAGTTCAATTTTTTATAAAATATTTGTATTATAGGTAGATGCAATGATATTGCTAGAGTAGGTTCGTTTAATTGATCAGGTAATACTTAAATAATCACTTATTTATACCGAGTACCGAATACCCGTGACAAGATACGCAACTTATTCCGTTGTTAATGGGGGGGGGGGGGCGTGGCTCCTGAACTGTATCTTCTTGTATTGCTTACCTTATAGACATTGTGTACGCTGGTGAGCTCATCGAAGACAACATACATCTCATTGAGCAGATGAACAATCTGAATAGGATCACACTGAGAACACATGTCGGTGAAGCGAACTATATCACTGAAGGAAATAGTCACCTGCTGAAACTCACCTAGAGAAAGAGAAAGAGGGTGAGAGAGTGAGATAGAAAGAAAGAGAGAGAGATGGAGAGAGAGAAAGGGAAAAGGAGAGAGAGAGAGAGAGTGTGTGTGAGAGAGAGAGAGAGAGTGGGAGGGAGAGGGAGATAAAGAGAGTGAAGGAGGAGAAGATGTTGGAATGCATGTGTAGCAAACCACATTGTATAAAGTTAATGTAAGAAATGATCACTTACTGAAAATTTAACTACATAGAGAAAAGGAGAGGAGAGAGAAATGTTCAGAAAGAGAGGGGACCTCACACATAACTATTTGTGATAAAGTGAAATCAGAAAAATGTTTCGACCCCATACTCTTTGATCCTTTTCGAGCAATCTTAGATGATTTTCTTAATGCCAACGCCAACCCCAAAATATATTTCAATAATTAAAAAACGCACATTTGGTATAAACAACAACATATTTTTATTGATCGTCACGTAGCCTAAACGTAGTTCAACTATGTCTTTGCTATGATTTCATCTGGGACCCGTTTCACAAAGCCTTCTTTCAATGACACATGAAAATAAATCAGTGATCAATCTGTTAATAACCAATCAGAAGCAAGGATTTCAGTAGCTTATAACAAAAACTCTCTTTGTCACTGATGACAAGTTTTATGAAATGGGGCCCTGACCATTGATTGACTTATCGTACCTGCCTCAACCTTCTTCCCATCCCGTAGATCATTAGCGACCTCTTTCGGCAGCATTGAGTAGAGTAGTGTATCAGTTTTCTTCTTCTCTAGTTCTAGGTCTCTCATGAGCGTGCGCAGTTCTTCTTTCTTCTGCTCTAACTGCTTCGCCAACTCAACCTAAAAACAATTTATGAAATATAAATATTTTGCACTTTGTTAATTTGCTGGAAGTGTTTTAATAATAATAATAACAAATAATTGCACAAAATAATAATGTCAAATTACTATAATGAATATCAATTATAATTTCTAGAATTTAATGGGCGAGCTCTTTTTTGTTAACCATTACTTGAGCTTCAAGACGGCAATGCATGCATGTTTAAATTTTAATTAGATCGTGCGTGCCACTGGATTGCACAACCCAGTTCATGCTAATTGATCTTCATGATCACTTGGCTTCGTTGACGTTATTACACAACATCCATAACCATGCTTGACATGCAACTCATTGATAATCATAGTGATTGAGTGATGCAACTCCCCTAATACATGGGCGTCATTCCTTAAGTAATACCTATTGTTCAGGGGGATGAATGAATAGATCATCCCTTCCCCTGAACAATAGGTATTACGTAAGGATTGACGCCCATGCACTAATATATAGGTAAATTTCATTGTGAAACTTTTAGAATTTTAGAATGTGTATTTAGAATGTTCATGAGGACATCACTTTAGACTTGAATCTTGATGTTGCCATCAAGTTAATTAACATTGTCCTGTTTAGAATAATAAAAAAACACCACACAAATAGAATTAAGTGTGACGTATTTAGTAACCTCCGCGATTCTTTGTTGATTGAACAGGATGAGGTCACGTGTTAGATCATGTGATGCGATGTCTGAAAAGTGCATCTTCCTATCCCTTAGGTCATTCAGTGACGTCAGCTGGGGTGAACAGAGGAACACATAGAGATGTGAATCAGGCATCCACACCATCTGACCTGAGATTGATGACAAGGAAAAGGAAATGGGGAATTTATTAAAGGGAGTGTGTCATACTTTCATAATAGGTGGATACTCTGCTATTTATTGACTCGTTACTCCTCTTCTTTTTAGGGTATTTCTTTTTCCTTTTATTTTTTCTTCTGTATTGTTTTGTCCCAAATTGTATTGAACTCGTGCAATCATTTGTCAAATTACTGCCCTCTTACATTTGATTATGTACGTCTCTCTAAAGTAAACATATTCTGTCCCGGTCATTTGTCCACGTCTACCGGGAACCTTTATGTACTTTTACCCTTCCTCCTTTATTCAGCTGCTTCTCTTTCTAGAACTGTCTTTCTCCCTATATATATATATATACGTATATATCTCCCCCCCCCCCCACCCTCACTCCCACCCCTCTCTATCTCAAGCTCATCATTTTTATTATCCTTTGAGTAAAAAATAAAAAAATGAATAAATAAAATCACCCTTTCAATGACCATGTAAAGCAAATCAAATTATTCCTGCAGACCAATTTATATTCAAGACGTAATTGAGTTTGCTAAGGAGCGGTAACCCATGCAAACATTGCTTTTCAAAAAGTTTATCGCTTTCAAGTGTCGAACGTATTATTAAACTTGCCTCTTCGTACATCCCGTTGCAATAATTTTTGTCAGTTCTATTTGTTTTTTTTTAAAAGAAAGAACTTTGATTATATTTAATTTGATTTCATTTTCTTTTCGTTGGAATTCACAACAAGTTTTAGAAATTAATAAAATAATTCGACATGGGTGCAAACACGTATGGCAGGGAAAATGAGCGCTGACGAAATTCTTTTCATCACGAGCATAATTCATTTTCATGAAATGAATCTATTCATGCATTACCTCTGAGAGAGAGGACCGGCATGTTGGGAGCCATGGCTTCTTTCTTCAGCGTCGCCATGAAGATCATGTTGAGAAAGAGAAAGATATTCTCCGACGTCAACTCAATCTCCGGGTGATCAAGGACTAAAATATCCTTGAGTGTAGCGCCTTCATCATTGATCAACGGACAGAACTGTTGCAGCTTTGATCCAGAGTGCATGATCACCAGGTCATCGTTGAAGAGGATGTGGTAGGGGAAGGTCTTGCAGAATGTCTCAGGATCTAGGAGAATCCTAGCGGGGATCTTCGGTTTGAAGTGACTGATCGGGAGGACACGTTTCTCAGAGATCTCGGGGAGACATTGGTCTCTTGCCACTTTTCCTTCGGCCAGACTTTCTTCAATCCCGTTGATATCCATTCCTGAGAAAGGACATCGTTTAGCGGATCCGTTCCGAGCGAGAACCAGATTATTCTTCACAGATTCGTTGCTTGGTGGCCGATAGTCACCCCCACCGATGAGATGCGAGGTCCCATCAACAATGGAGGTCCATTCCTAAAAATCCCAAAGAATATACCCTGATGATAAATTTCCTCAAAAGATCCCTGTTGTTGCCCCCCCCCCCCCTCTCCACCCTTACCTTTATGTCAATGTTATATAATTTAGCAACAATTCTTGGAGCCCACTTCACTTAAAAAAAAGAAGATTGTCGTTACTCTCTTCACATATTCAAAAACAAAAGTATATTAAGGGATATCCATTTCCAGGATTGAGTTCATATGGAATTGTAATAACGTAGTCGGGAAAACAAAATGTTTGATTTGAGTTATTAATGTATCGTGCGCGCACACCCACCACACATACACACGCACTCACCAACACACGCACACACAAAAACACACAAACCCACGCGTGCGCACACCTACAGAAAACAAATAGGTTAACCAGGATATTAAGAGAAAACAGTTTGCACTCCAAAGCAAAATGGTTAAAAATAATTCGAGACTCAATTTTTACCTCTTCAGTTACAATGCCACTAGTTCCCATCGGAGCTAGATCAAACTTGACGAAACACACGTGAAACTTGTAATGGTCCTTTAGTATCCCACAATACTCTGCCTGGTCATGTGATAACAGCTCGATGTCCACTTCCGTGTTAAAGATGATTCGCCCGACCGCTTTCACGCATCCTTTTAATGAAATTCAAAATAAAAATCAATGTAAATAATAATGAAGGTACAGCATTTCCATGAGGATTAAAGAGGATACTATTAGTATAATTATACGTAAGCTAACAATATAAATATAAAGGAAGCATATTAAAGATTGATAAACTGATATTCGGGGCATATATATGTTCTTAACAAAGAATAAAAAGGGGGAGAGGTACACAATAACGAAACAAAATGCATTCGAACTGTTTACATGGCAGACTACTATATGAATGTCTGCTTGAAGAAGAAAACAAAATATCCTGGGTATTATCATAATCCTTCAAAGTTTACTTTTTGGCCCCTGAGAAATATCAAGAAAGGCCAAGGTAGAATCATCAAGTCTACACAAAAGTGTGTATCTTCCATGATGTTAATTCAAAGGCACGGATACAGAAAGAGTTTTAAAAACAAATGCAATTGAAGTATTGATCGCCAATGTAATAGTGTGACTGTATCCTCATTCGGATATTACCGTAGACAATGCTTCCGAGGCCGCGACGATTTGAGTAGTAGTGAAGGATCATTTCATCATTCTCCAGCTCCTCGACTCTGAACGACGGGACGGTCATCTTAGGGTAGAGGGTCTTCATGTACACACTGTGTAAGAAGTCCAGGTTAGCCATGAAGTCTGAGAGGGTACCACCCAGAGCCCGAAAGAGGGCGTCGTAACCACATCGCATACACCATACCACCCAATACACACCGAACGTCTCCAGGACAACGTTACCGTCGACACCTACGACATGAAATATGAGTTATAAAATATTATAAAATGATGACGTAGATCCTAATTAAAACGCATTAGTTATTTAATTTAGATCTAGATCAGTCATAGATGTAGACCTAGAATTAGCAATGAACGGACGGACTTTGAGATGAGGGTGATTTATCAAATAACAAGGATCCACGTCATAATTTTATAAAACAAATAATACACAGCATTTTGTTCGGGCATTCGTAATTTTACCCACACTCAGTACCTTCTAAACAGTCCAAACACACTTGGCTATTGCCTCGGGCGTGTTAAACTGTTCCAGAGGTACCCTGTGCGGGTAATTCTTACTAATGCCCTCACTGCTGTGTATTATTTTTATATTAATCATTTCTGGTCATCACTCTATTTATACAGGGGTTCTCAAAGTATGGACCGCTATTTTAAAGGAAATTTAAAGAAAAATCTAAAAACTCAAAAGGGATGTAAAAATCCTGAAAAGTGAACATTATTTGTTAAAGGTAATACACAGTTTTGGTATGGGGTCATGAATTTGGTTCAAATGAAAATATTGGAAGCATAATGCGATCCTACAATTTTCAGTGATCGTTGTCGCGGTTGAAATCGAGTCTAAAGTTATGAAATTGTAAATAATACACTCTTTATGTTGTATAGCTCCCTCTCAAGGTCAAGATATTAATTAAGCTATAAAACAATGTTTCTTGACTAAAATCGACCGACTAGCTATTCCGGTTTTGAAGTTATGTATCACAACTACATATTCTGAGATTTTCATGGTCGCAACTACAATTGTACAGCCGTAGGCGCTATTTGAAATTGATCAACATTTTATATTCAATTTTTCTCGAAAGCAGAAGCGTTTTAGGGGCTAACTTTTTGTGGTTATAATACATTCACAGGGGCATCCAAATATATCCACCCAATTTTCAAAATTTCCCAAAACTTTGTATTACCTTTAAGCTTTAGAAACATCCAGATGGATAATTCATTAATGTGGGCATCATACCATTGAATGTTTTCCAGTTGAAGTTTCAAGTTTAAAGGGCGTGTTCTGCTATTGTTGAATGAGATGGAATGTTCAACCTGAGGGCTTGTTGTTCTCTTTGAAAGGAACACACAATGTGGGTAATGCAATTTGAATTTTAACGGATGGATTAGAGTTTTTATCGCTCACGACGGCTATACGGGAACCCTAAGGCGGACCCCTGGACCCCATTATTGAAGATATAAATGATTCCCAAGACAACCCGCTGTTGTATAAAATGATATTAATAGTCCCATATTTATGAAATCATGAATTCAAAATGGGAGAATTCTAATGGGGTTTATGTTAACGAGACGGATCTTTAAAAGGAAAAGGGGGAACGAACGTATTTTAGTTCTCTCGTGCAAACCCGTTCGCTTTATTCTCGATACTGTACAATTACACTATGATGATGGGGGTAGCTGACGGCTGCACTTTCCTTTGCCACTACACCACCCTCTTCTGTTTGATTTGATCACAGAGGCAATTAAAATTAACGAGCATCGAATACAATTTGAGGAGTAAACAAGAAAAGGAGAGGAAGATGGAAAGGAATATAAAAAATGAAATAATTTGTAATTTGATTATTCGACCCTTTCGACAGCCGTAACTATTAAACACTGCCCACTTGCATTTTGTTCAATCTATTCAGACTGGTGCCGGCTGAACGTTTCCAATCAAGCTAGAGCAATCAATGCTGTGTACATTTATAATATTATTTGCTCGCTTGTGTTATGTTTACATAACGAAATGGATGTAAAAAGAGGGTCTCTACCTTACTTTATATTTTATTTCATATCCCCTCTACCTAACTTGACTTTTACGACTTTTATTTGTACCTTTAAATGTGTTATTTTTTTATAATGACGGTTCTTGGAATTTATTGCTATATAGGGATAGTGATGTTTAGATAATTACTCCACTGATAGACTCGCAGGTCCATTATAGTACACCAAGGTCTTTCCAATATAAAAGTATTTTCTATCTTAAATTTCTGACTCGCCCAAAACACACCCAGTAATTGATTTGCAGGCGATGTGGTCAAGCATCAATAATTTATTTACAAAATGGACAGTCCTCTTTTTAACTGTACAATTAAGTTAGTTTATCAAGTCGTGTCAGGAAAATTACAAGGACGGTGTAATGAGAAACTACTGAGAGAAGACAAATACAAATTGAAAGCGCATCATTTAATGGTGGATTGCAATCATTTGACGCTTGATCATTATTATACGAAATTTGCTAAGGAGTGTATTATCATGTATTGGTTAAAAGGCTAACACATGTGACATTCAGTAAGTTGTTTAGTGCACGAGCATGCAATTCCATTTAGGTTTGACCCACCTAAACCATTTGATTTATACGACTGTGATGAAAGCTGGTCGGCCTAAAAGTGGCCGACGCTTCTAGCTCCCGGAAACCCAGAGCACCAGAAACATACCCAGTTTTACACATTCTAACCTTGCTGCAAACCTATGAAAATGGAAAATAAAAAGGGGATATTTACTGAATTTCTATCGCGAAAAGTCTGGTCACGTATACGGCCGTAGACCGTCAAACAATCATGAGAAAAAGAGTGGCAATTCCTCATCTCTAACGATGTATTGATTCCCGTGGAAAATTAAAACGAATTCTGATAAAACTTATGTGAGCTCTGCATGTCCGATTACAAATGGCTCATTGTGATTATGGAACCCTTATTTCCAGCTTATCTACCTTCGTATATCACTCAAAATTACAACATGTTACAGCACATGACTGACTCGAGCATGTCTATCATCAAGATTTCACCTTGCAAAATAATTAATATTACATCAAGACTCGAGGTCGCAGCCTAATGCAATTGCATGGTATAACAATGAGCATGGTATAACAATGCTTTGTAGGATATTCCATTGCGAGACCCTATTAGTAGCTACCTTTTAGTAGCCTGCAAAATTGCGAATTAAGCCGAGACATTGCATAGATTTATGACTAGTTTTTCATAATTTTTGTCTTAAAAATTTCGCCATATATTATATAAGTTGCAAAACGTACACAATAGCATGACCAAAAATCTTGCGCCACAATGTACTGATACAGCAGACTCTCACCGAGAGCTCTAGTGGGCCAATCAAGTGGTTCACTGCATCTCAGAATGAATAATAAACAGCAACAAACTTAAAGGTACTATGTCCCTTTTGCAGCCAAGCTCAAATTCTTTAGAACTTTGCAGGAATTATGAATATGTCATGTAAGTCCTATCTGTGAAATTTAAATGTTAGTAGTGTCCCAATATTCAAATTATGCAAGGAAACATGTTTACTTGCGAGACTTCACTGTCACTGACACTATTAAGTGACTGACTGGCTTTTTTCTTCTTTGATAATAACATACTTAAAATGAGCTGTAAAGGGTACATGAGCATTTGTCTACATCAATAACCCACTTCTTGTGATGGCCAAAATTTAACTAATTGAATCTTTGCGCAGCATAAAACGTATGACCATTCAGTACAATGGTCTGAAAATCAAGACTATTACTTATTGGCTCTATAGCTCCTAAGGCGATTTGAAAACTAATAGTCGTTATTTTCCCACTTGAAGACATTTACAAGCCCCACCTTTTTAGGAAAGTTCTAAATTAGTATTATCTTTCAAATGCTGTTGGAATTTAACCTTTTAATTGTTTGGCCTGCAAATGGGACATAGTACCTTTAAACACGAAATGAGAGTCTAAAACAAAATGACGTCACTTCAAGGAGGTCTCGTAACTCTTGGGCAGTCATCAATACTTTATGTATCGCTTAAAAGACTTAACCTTTCAATGAAAATGGACGTTGCTCGTGGGTTCAAGTTCATTAAAAAATCGCATTATTATATTGCTGCGAATGGCAAGAAAATGGTCATTGTTATTTTAAAAAACGTGCATATATTTTGTTGACGCATTCTAAAGAACTTGCTCATTTCTACTTACCTAAACCTCAAATGCGTTGCACCCTGACAAAAGCTCGCACAAACTCGGTTTTGCTTTGCTTTGCTTTGCGTTGCTTTGCGTTGTTTTGCGTTGCTTCGCTTTGCTTTGTTTTGCTTTGCGTTGCGTTGCGTTGCGTTGCGATGCGTTGCGTTGCGTTGCGTGACTTTGCTTTGCTTTGCGTTGCCTTGATTTGCTTTGCTTTGCGTTGCCTTGCTTTGCTTTGCTTTGCGTTGCCCTGCGTTGTTTTGCGTTGTTTTGCGTTGATTTGCGTTGCTTTGCTTTGCTCCTGCGCGGGATTATGTCCCCTTGCTTTAAATTAATAGGGCACGATCGTTCAGTCCATGGATTTATTATCAATAATCAAGATATCGATTAATCCATTTGCATGAACCACGTAAATTGAGGTTCGTCTGAATCCACTTCTTTCTAGCAGAGAGTCTAAATCGTATATGGATTCAAAACTTGAAGTGAATTGGACTGCAAACTAATCTTTTTGATTGACGGGTACTCTCTTACTTTAGACATTACGATATACCTAGTTCAAGGGCAACCTTCATGTCCATTATCAACCAGAGGAGCTTGTCACTCTAGCGAGGGGACCATGAAGACGTACATACAACTAAGATCTTTATCCTTACTATATATATGACCTTGTTATGACAAGTACTTCGGGATTAGTATGTGGCAGGTGAATAGCGTTACGAGTGTTCTCTTGGGAATGTTTTGATCATATGCTTTTAGACATGTATGCATTAACTATGACCTTCTCTCGTCAGAATGCACATTTTTAAGAAGAGAGAACGAAAGATGTAAGTGTCAGTTATATCATCAACATGTTGACACTGAAGCAATGCATTTAGTTTATTTATCATCGTTATTATTGTTGTTTTAATTATTGTTAGTAGTAGTTGAAATCATTATCATTATTATTATTAATATACTCATTATCACTGTTAGTATTATTATTATCATTATCATAATAGTTGTTTTTATCATCATTATAAGTTTGTAGTAGTAGTAGTAGTAGTAGCAGTAGTAGTATAAGTAGTAGTAGGTGTAGTAGTATCAGTATTACTATTCTTATTGCTGTTGTTGTCATATACTGTCATTGTTATTGTTATCATTATCTATAATAATTAATGATATTCTTTATTTGTATTTTTTGCTAGTCGGTGAACCTAACAACGTTGACTTGGACTTTACATACGCGTTCATGGGATATGATTGCTTTTAACAAGCAAGCGTCTTTTTATTTCTTTATATATTAGATGTCGTCAAATAGCAAGTCCCTGATATGACAGACAAAACAAAACCAACCATGATTGATCTTATAACAATAATTAAACAAATTCAAGGGGAAAAACAGGCGGAACAAAGAAAAGAACCCCTGTTGCTATTTGCAGGTTAATTTAATCAAACTCTCTACTGTTAAGGCTTGTCAGTTCACCTTGACTTGACCTTCTACTTTCACTGTCACCATCCCGAGACATTGTTTTAAATGACCCTCACAATATTCAAAAGCCAGATCTGATTATAGTATAGTTCTTATCAAGCATCGGGTTGTGAAATAAAGTTATATCTTAAGTGTTACTCGGTTTCTCTTTTACCGAAGAAAGCTTAAAATACGTAAGCGATAAAAGAAAAAGCGTCGAGTAAAACAAGATCTGACGTAGGAAAATCTGCCGAACATATTATATTGTCTTATAAGAGATAACTCTCTTTCGCGAAAATATCTTACAGCTTGCTTTATAAATTCGAAGTAGCTCACAATATCCTATTCATGTTATAAAGTATACTTGATTTTGTTTGTAGCCATGTTGTTTGTCTTGTTATTTACTATGAGATGATTTTTGGAAATAATATTTAGCCCTCCACAGCTACTTTATTAGTGAAAGTCGCGATAACAAATGAACAATCATAAAGTTTCATATCTTTGACTCACTTGGTTTCAAGTCGGTTCTCTCTTTTTTGTATACAAATACAAAAGGAATTTACTACCACTCAATAACAAATGTTCTATACATACCACACAAATTATAAATATATCTGCATTATCATGATATCGACGCCCTTTTCTCCTTTCCTTTATACCAAATACAAAAACCCTGCATCTCAGTTTTTCTGAAAACAATTTGTTGCTTTATCAATGCTTCTATGCAGCTGAGTGCACCATTTCTCCTTTAATAATAATAAAAGTGGATTCTTGTATAGCGGGTGTGTATGTCAAACTTGACACTCCTGGCGCTCCACATCTTTCTTTAAAACGAAATATAATATCTTCTCTTGTTAACATGTACGTTCATACAGCAATTATCATGCTGTTTCATTATCTCGTTTTCTATGAGGAAATGGGCTACAACCATCATATTCCTTTTCATTTCTGGCCTTCATCTTCTATTCAGGAATAATAAATGAGATCTTCAGAAATCGGCTTGGCTTTTCATATCTTGCATTAATGCACACATTTCAGATCGCTAGGCCACAATTGTGATGGATATTATTATTATATCTTATGTATTTGTGGAATACATCTCCTCAAGATAATATCTCTATGAAGGGTTATATTGTGAATTTAAAAGCTTCTGTCGACAGCGCCATTATGGCAAAATCTGAAGATAAGCCGTAGCAAGTATACTTCAAAGTGATACTGTCATTAAAAGACGCATCGAGAGTTTTATTTTCTTCTTCTTCTTCTTCTTCTTCTTCTTTGTTCTCCTCCTCTTTCTTTTTGCTCTTTTTCTTCTTTTTCTCCTTCTTCTTCTTTTTCGTCTTCTCTTTCTTTTTCTTTTTCTTCTTCTTCTCTTTGTTCTTCTTCTTCTTCTTCTTCTCCTACTTCTTCTTCGTCTTCTTTTGCGTCTTCTTCTTCTTCTTCTTCTTCTTCTTGCAAACGTACGAGATATGACGATTGCAATCAGTGCAACATACTATTTGTGAATTTTTCCCAAATTACCTAAATTACTAATCTAATATATTTGGAATTGATAGCGTTGAATATAATTGATCTACTGGAAGTATATCACATAATTATCAATATATCAAACAGTTTGTTCTATCCTCCCGATAGTCAATTATCTATATCATAATGATGAATTAACAACAAAGTTCCGTTCTCGAGCTTGTTAATTGGCTTAATTTCAGTGATGGAATCCTGCTCCCATCCCTGATGAATGTCCACCTCTCATTACGTGCTAATTGACTTGTTAAAGCGAAGGTGATTTACTGGGTAGGCGTATCCCTTGTTGATTACTAGACGTAGAGGTGACTTCGTGATCCTCTTCGCGCTAATTACTCACTCCGGCTTGGGGGGGGGGGGGGGGGGGGGGTGGAAGGACAGAGTGCTTATACCTCTGCTTTTACCTGATCATGACAATAATTTTGTGTGAATAGCAGGTCATATCACACAATAGTTATAGATATAGTAATATCCTGTTGTAATTTATATGTAAAGGGATAGTTGAGTCCTGTTGCAGAGGGCGCTACACAAAATATTTTGTGAGATAATGAAAAAGTGAGTGTTAAATTTGAAAGAAAATACAATTTAAATGACATAATCATCTTTGTTTGATAAAATTTGAAAAATCGCGCCGACCGATATTTCGCTCCGTTTGGGGGGGGGGGGTATGGGGGTCAATGAGCACTACATTTTTTTTTCATTTGAAAAAAGTGCCGACAAATATTTATTCATTTATTTATTTATTTATTTATTTTTATTATTTTTTATTTATTTATTTATTTATTTATTTTTTTTTTGATTTATTTATTTTTATTTTTTTGTATTGTTATTATTATTATTATTATTATTATTTTTTTTTTTTTGGGGGGGGGGGGGGAGAAAGCACCCCAACAACAGTTTTCCTTTTGTTTTCTTCTTTTTGGCCAGCCCAAGGCCCCCCCCCCCCCCCCCCCCCCTAAATCCGCCCCTGATGCGAACGGCTCTTAGGTGAGTTGTTTTTCTTCCGATTATTGCTTCTGAATTATATATCAACATGAATATGGATATAACATGAATTGTTTTAAAACTTGATGATAAATTGTTGAAATTTTATAAATAGCCGTTTTGTGGCTCGGTCTAGACAAGTTGTGCTAGTCGTGTAGTCCCGTCTGTACTGCATTGCCTGGCAGGGAATAGGCCATTTTCGTAATGTAATCAATTTTAATACATAAGTCTTTGTGAAGTTCCTCAATAGAAATTATTTCATTCACCTGTCTAGTATTCGCAATAGTCAGAATGCAAACTGTATTAAGTGTGGCAAGAACTAATGTATGCAGATTGGATTCTGTCTATTTAAATACTATTATTTTTATCAGGTGAATGAAATAGTTTGTATCGAGGCGTCATTGAGAACACCCGTTCTGGATTTTAGTACCTCAGCGGTCACCCCGCTGTTAATATAGTAGCTTCGCGATTTTGCACACGAACCGCAGATTCTCCGTCTGCAATGAGTTTGCGAAAACTCTCTACTTTTGAACTTACCCAGGACCTCTGAAGCGGCTCCAACTATCTGGTATGTGATGGAGTCCGGGTACATATCGAACTTGACAAACCGATCATCCACACCGGCTTTTATCCTAGTAATATCAAGAAATTGGGATATAAACTCAGAGATTAGATAAACTCAGAGGTCGGATGGACACACGCCAAATGTATTTCTCAGTGTATAAAATAGAAGTAGACCACATTATGAGTTCAAGCAACATGTTTTCGTCTGTTAAATTAAATCTTTGTTTCTCATGATGAAGAACCTTCCGATAGAAATCAACTTAACCATTAAAGTCATTCTGAATTTTGTATATCCTGCAAATATATCGACGGGTCGGATCACGAAAGTGTAATCAAACGGAAACTTAAGGAATACTTGCTTGACATAATATTTTACTGTAGGCATTTTATTAGCTTGAGACGGAGTCAGAACGTTAGAATTCGCTTCTTCGATTTTGTTGTTCTTTACTCACATATTAAACAATTCTTCGCAGCCAGCTCGTTCGACAGAATTTCATTTTATTTATCAGTCTATGCGTTAAAGTCTGGCTTAAAGATATCATGACAGTGAATTTCGTTTTGCGTCATTACTATAAAGTTAGATATAAGCTGAGACTCGTTTCCTTAAAACGAGTCAGAACGTCAGAATTCGCTTCTTCGATTTTGTTGTTCTTTACTCACATATTAAACAATTCTTCGCAGCCAGCTCGTTCGACAGAATTTCATTTTATTTATCAGTCTATGCGTTAAAGTCTGGCTTAAAGATATCATGACAGTGAATTTCGTTTTGCGTCATTACTATAAAGTTAGATATAAGCTGAGACTCGTTTCCTTAAAACGAGTCAGAACGTCAGAATTCGCTTCTTCGATTTTGTTGTTCTTTACTCACATATTAAACAATTCTTCGCAGCCAGCTCGTTCGACAGAATTTCATTGTATTTATCAGTCTATGCGTTAAAGTCTGGCTTAAAGATATCATGACAGTGAATTTCGTTTTGCGTCATTACTATAAAGTTAGATATAAGCTGAGTCTCGTTTCCTTAAAACAGTATTCTGCTTTTATCCAATGCAACATACACTGTCCCTTCATTTCAATGATTTTCCAGCTTCTTCCCTAGGGCATCAAAATCATCACACTTATACCTATAGCCTAGCTTATCGATCAGTATATATTGATTTTTTGATTTGCAGGAGAAGTCTACCTTGACAACTTTGGTTTATTAAAAGCAGAAAAATTAGAAAAACGACAAGTCCGGGCAATTACCTTATTTTCTCCCATGTTTCGTTGCCCCATTTCTCCGTAACGAGATCTTTGATGCTTACGTTCACACTTCCATACTGTAAAGATATAAAACAATATTTTATATTAGTGTTTGCTTTTCAAAATAAGATTTAGATAACATTTCATTACTAAGAAAGAAGCACATCACCAGTATAAACCCCAACTTAAGAGGGCCGAACGAGTGGAGGGGGGGGGGGGGGGATTTGTAATTGCAGCCCCTCATGATGTAGACCTATGACAAGTTGTACTTACCTCCCCCCCCCCCCCCCTTTTTGTTTTACATCGCCGATCCATTATAATGGAAGCGAGAAGGGTTAACATATCAGAAAGTTGGATGTGCCAATAGTAAAACATTTAAATGATGTTAACCTCCGTGCTGATTTACACTTTAACCAAAAAATAAATCATGATACATTCTTCAACGGACATCTACATGCTAAGCATAATAACTTGTTATTAACACGAATGCAAGGACTTTACAAAATCATCGTGATGCAATTTCAGCAGCCTTGGGTCTTGACGACGTTTCTTAATTTTGTTTAAATTGAAAATAAATCAAACTAATTTTTATCAAAACGTATGATCGTTATACTTTTATTTCATTCAATCTTTTTTCTTATTGCTGCTGTTGTCGTTGCATTTATGCAACATTTCGGTGTTCAACAATTCGCATACTTAACCCATCCATAGCCGCATCTTGAAATACAGCAAACTATTTTGTTTTTAATCAAGAAAAACAAAATTAACAAACAAAAGATAAAATATATTCACAAACAATTTCAGCCCTGTTATACATAGGTACGCTCGTTCAATACCTCGTTGTCTTCCATTTTTTTTTAAAGCAAAATGATGTAAAATCCATTGTCAATATTGAAACCTCTTCTTCTGTAAGAAACGGAGATGATATATAACTCCTTAAGAGCATACAGCTGTCAGGAGAAGATAGGATTATATGTTGTCGGAAGCAATACATGATCCTTGCCTAAATTGCTACGGCAAGTAATACAAAACTTGCTGTTAAAAAAAGAAGACGGATTTTTGTTATTGTTATTAGGGGGGGGGGGGGGAGGAATATTTTTGCTGAGACAATTGACATTGAAATTTTAAAAAAGGTGTTATTTCCTTCTCTGTCCACTACCAAGCAACAAGCGGGTTTTCCAGGATTAAAGAAAATGTTGTTTCTTGAAAACAGCAAACTAAAAAAAGGCCAAAATAAAAAATTAACAAAGAAACAACAATAAGCAAACACTATCATCCCTGGGAGATAGGTAGTTTGTCCAATTCCTTGTTTTTAAAGCAGAATGATATAAAGAAAAACATTTGTTGTATTGTCATTTCTTCGTCTGTAAGAAACAAAGGTGATATATAACTCATTAAAGGTACTATGTCCCATTTGCAGGCCCAAAAAATGAAAAAGTTAAATTCCAACTGCATTTGAAAGATAATACTAATTTAGAACTTCCCTAAAAAAGGTGGGGCTTGAAAATGTCTTCAAGTGGGAAAATAACGACTATTAGTTGTCAAATCAAATTTAGGGCTATAGAGCCCAAAAGTAATAGTCTTGATTTTCAGACAATTGTACCGAATGGTCATACGTTTTATGCTGCGCAAAGATTCAATCAGTTTAATCTTGGCCATCACAAGAAGTGGGTTATTGATGTAGACAAATGCTCACGTACCCTTTACAACTCTTTTCATGTATGTTATTACCAAAGAAGAAAAAAGCCAGTCGGTCACTCAATAGTGTCTGACAGTGAAGTCTAGCAAGTAAACGGGTTTCCTTGCATAATTTGAATATGAGGACACTGCTAACGTTTAAATTTCACAGATAGGATATACATGACATATTCATAATTCCTGCAAAGTTCTACAGCATTTGAGGTTGGCTGCAAAAGGGACATAGTACCTTTAACAAAATTAAACAATTTCGATTCAACGAAATATATTTCATTCTCTCAAATCCACTCGCCTATAATACAAATAATTTTATTATTAAGTTTACCTACGTATCAAGTGATCTTGGACTTATATTGTACTTTTGTATTGCCTTCCTCTATTTCCTAGGCAAGTAATCACATTATAGGACTTTTTAGATTGAGTTAACGAGAACGGCGTCCACTGATCATGTTTGTTCATGACAAGCTTTCTTTAAAAACACTTATTCATTTTCCTTGATATCAAGGATTACCATTGCTTTACAACAGGAAATAATTTCTTGATATAAAGAATTAAATTGTTGATATCAAGAAAAAAGAATAATGTTGAAACGGCTTGCCATGGACACACATGATCAGTAAATGTTCACGCCATTCTCGTTCACTCAATCTAAAAGTCCCTATTGTACTTCAAAGAGGAAACTGCTTGATCAGGTTTTTGTGATTTTAAATTACAAGAAAAATTCACAGATACTGCCAATATAAATAATTATGGGGATTAAATCTCATTGATTTCTTCCTAGAATTTTCTGTAACGATTTCTGTAACGATGATATTTCTTTTGCATAATCTCGTCTGTTCAACTAAACGTTTCAATTTAGTTTAGAAGAATATTTCGACTTACCATAGCAGAAAGTCTGTTTACCTCTTTTCACTCGACAAATCGACATCGATGATCTGCGAAAAGTGTCCGATCTTTGGGCCTGAAAGCAACTGATATAGTCGATAGTGGATGAGGAGCATAGCTAGCTACCTACCGATCGCATTATACCAATGAGCGATATCTCATGATAACGGCATTAGGAACACAGCGTGTGTTACCATGGTAAGTGATGTAAGTATCACCATGGAAACAAGCAACGTGGAGATTGGTTTGTTCGGCAGGATGTAAACTAGCATTCCCTGTGTGCTAATCATCCTTAGGTAATTGTTGGGGTTGGGGATTTCGTCCAGAAATTATTTGATTATTTAGTAACAATGTCAAGGTTAACCAAAGGGAATAAGACTAGGAAGGTTGCAAACCTTTCTCATCCATTTACATTAGGTATCAATAATGGAAACAAATTTTAAAAAGAAAAAGAGAATACAATATTCATAAATGGGTGTAAATCCACCACAATAACATTTTTTGGGGGGTATAATTTCTATTAATTTAGAATACAGTAGAATAAAAATATTTTGTACCCCCTGCTTTCGAAGAAAAGAATTGTACTTGCAACAAGTAATAGATAAAGTTTGACTACTCTAAAGCATTCGACAAAATTCACCACGACAAATTAATTGAAGGCTTACAAAAAATTAATGTCGATGATAAGAACATACGTCTCATATCTAAACTTTACTGGGAGCAGACAGCTGCCATAAAAATTAACAATGACATCACAGGTTACACAAAAATCAAAAGAGGAGTACGTCAGGGATGCGTAATGTCCCCATCTCTGTTCAACTTGTGCACAGAGTTGGTATTCAGGGAAATTTCAGATATGAAAGGTGTTAGTATTGGGGGTGTAAATATTAATAATTTACGTTATGCTGATGACACTGTACTTTGCGCAGAGAATGAAGCAGATATACAACATGTATTGAATATTGTCAATGAAGAGTGTGGTCTAAGCATGAATGTCAAGAAAACTAAGTCAATGATTTTTAGTAATACAGAGAATAAGCCTAGAATATGTTTGAAACTCGATGGACTATCATTGATCAGGTCAGTAATTACATCTACTTTGGACAAAATATCACAGATGATGCCAGATGCGAAGCAGAAATAAAAATAAGAATAGAAATTGCTCGGAATACCTTTCTGGCAATGAAAGGATTATTAACAAATAGAAAGATGACATTTGCGCTTAAGTTGAGACTAGTAAACTGCTATGTATGGTCTGTCCTTTTGTATGGAGCCTAAACATGGACAATAAACAAGGCCATGGAAAATAGAATAACATCTTTTGAAATGTGGATCTACAGATGAATGATGAAAATATCCTGGAAACGAATGAAAACCAACAAAGAGATATTGCACATGGCAGGGCGTAAAAAAATTGCACTAGTATTAAGAAGAAAAAAATCAAATACTTTGGTCATGTTAAAAGGCCCCAAAGCCTCTTAAAGGTAAAGACCAGTTATGGTCATGCGATTGCATTGTGAAAGAAACGTTGTGGAATCGATCAGAAAAGGTTGATCATCTAGCATGTAGAAGTAGACCTAGAGGGAGACCCAGAATCAACTGAGAAGAGAATGTCAAGAACTGGAGTGGACTAAAACTGCAAGAGCTAGTGCAGAATAGAGAAGATAGAGTGAAATTGAGAGATGTTGCAACAACCTCCGAACCGAAAGAAGATACTTAGATAGATAGAATTAGACATGGTAGTCGAATGTTCGAATTAAGCGTACTCATCAAAACGCTGTATTTTTCATGCAGATATTTACACCAGAAATTCAAAATGATACGCAATACTGATGCTCAATGAGAAATATTGAATATTGAAATAATCGTGTCAAATCGTGTCAGGGGTTGATTATAGTCCTGTGAGTATCGGGAAGAAAAAGTGGAATTAATTATTTGACCGCTGATACTAGGTCATCGTGAATGGAAACTGTTTCAAGGACAAAATGCCGGCCTTTTTAACGTGTAATAATAATAGTTGTAACGCAATTAACTTTTAAAATAAGATAATTACCTTTCTCCGTTTCAAAGGGCAACCTGTGGCGCCTTTGTGAGGTCGCTCTGATAATTAGTTATTGTTAAACAACACCGAGAGACAAACAACTTCCACATGTCGGTACGAACCTTGCTCCTGTAACAACAGCTCCGCAGTCACACCAAACATGGACAACTTTAACTTCAACCCTGTTGTACCCAGCAGGTACCCCTTTTCACACCTCCGAAAATGGCCCATATTGAAATCTGATAGGAGCGCCGTTTCCTTCGACAAGTGCCCAATTCTCTTCGTAACAATTTGGCCTTCTCCATTTTCATAAGAACCCCAATTCATCCCAGGCGAATTCCCCCTCTTCAGGTACAAGAAGTGCTCCTAACCACCTCTTATAAGTACCCCCTTTACCCTAGCTGTTTATTGGCCCTTTTCAAATCTGGGAGGCGCCCCTTTTCTGACAAGGGCCCCTTTTCTTTTGTAGTAAGTGCCCATTATTCATTCGTATAAGTTCCCTCTTTTAATATTTGTCGAGTGATCCTATTCAATCAATGACGTGACCCTTTAACTTAGACAATTGCTAAGTATGATTTTTAGCAGTATCTTGGGCCCTGTAAAGAGTAAAATAATATACTATTAAAATCTTCCCAGATTGTGTATTTATCACAATGTAGGGTATATTACCAATGATTAAAAGTATTACATTATTTTTCCAATACGTCCCCTTTTTTGTTGGTGCCTCCCCCTTATTTTGAAAAACGCGTCGCCGCCCCTGCACCCTTTGCTAAGGTTTAGGATGCAGTGATTTAAAATCCAAATAATATAATTGCTAACTACAAAGTATTTTTCGATACTTACTGTTAGACCTTCACGTTAACAAAATAAAATGTCTTGTATTCCGTTGTAGTTGAATTATAATTTGATTTTGATAAATAACTTCCACATGTATCAAAGCAGTAACGGGGCGTGACGTATTCTTTTCCTGTGTCAGACTTAAAATCTATTCAAGGAACCTGGCTAAAGGTTCGCAGGCGGTTTTCATTCGGAGTATTCCGAGAAGAAGAAGAACAAGAAGGACAGGAAGAAGAAGGAGAACAACAACAACAACAACAAAGGTAACAACAACATCGACAGGGAACCCAGGTTCTAGTATAAATATATTTAACATCTTGCACGGAAGTGGAAAACTGCTATTGCGAATTAGAATTCTCGCCTTTAGACTAGGTTTTTTGTTGTTGTGTGTGTGGGTGTGTTTGTGTGTGTATTTCATGATTCTTTCTTTTTAAAAGGTCGTTAAGGGGAGAGATATTTAACCAGGATAGGCATGGCATTGTGTGCTTACTCTCATTCACTTTCTTTTCCTAGGCACAACTGTGATAGCTTGAAGAAGTTCAAGTCGAGATAAAAAAAACGTTTCCACGCTGGAGCGGAAAACACGGCTAAATTATTTCCAACCTTTTTAGTTCACGTTTGCATAAAAAGCAGAATAATCGATATCAACCTCCGAATCAATAATCCCTCTACTGGAAAAGGGTTCATTCAAATATAAAGAGTAAATTTAACCTAACACAATGCATGCAAAGGGAAAGAGTATTAAAGTAAATTGTATGCGGCGAGTCGCTTTTACATTTGTATTATAAATTAAATTATTTTATTTTAGTTGTGTGTTGTTCTATTGTCTTCGATGAGTGGCATATCATGACGTTAACGCAGTAGACTCGCCCTCTCCACCTCTCTCTCCCCCTCTCCCTCTCTCCTCTCTCTCTCTCTCTCTCTCTCTCTTTCTCTCTCCTCTCTTTTTCTCTCTCCCTTTCCCTCCTCTATCTGTCTTCTCTCTCTCTCTCCTCTGTCTTCCCTCTCTCCTCTCTCTCTCTCTCTCTCTTTCTCTCTCTCGCTATCTCTCCCCCTCTCTCTATCTCTCTCTCTGTACATGCGAATAAGTGCACGTAAACTTACTAATGATAAACGATTAACTTGAATAGCATCTTTACAGTCGAAGATCCGGAATAAATAGGCAAGATTAATGGGATGTACCCATCGATGTAAGGTATTAAATGTGTGATTTGAATCCTAACAAATCAGTATTGATTGGAGATGAACTGAGGTAGTTGCTCTGGAGGATTCGGAATATTAAAAGGATATTGATGTGATATGATGCCATTTGTACGCAAAGTGTCATATCTAATGAGTTATTACCTGCCCTTTTCACGCTCATAGAGGCAATACACCCGGCGCCAATACAAATCACTATGATAGCAGAACTATAGATTTTGCAGTTTTTTTTCTAACGTCACTCTCGCACGGTGCGTCAAACATTACGCTAATCACTGACGCTGCCTTGCGTCTGACAAAATGACGCTTCATGTGAAACGGGCTTTACACAGAAATAGCTAATTAATGTCGTTGTTATATACTCTAACTGATTATATATGAAGACCATAAATGAATGCGTGAATCTACATTTGCACTTTTTACTTTACATTCATTTTCTGTAAGTTATTACTCTCGGGTGATGCGTCAAAAACGTCGCCAGGTGATGATGCATAGGCGTATGACGGAGATAAAGGCCAGAATTTAAAAAGGAGGTTTGTCGACAAAACTAGTTTCATGTGCGTCATATGACCTCCTTTGTGAATTCGGGCCAAAAGGTTTGCCAGTCAGTTTGTTTTACATGGCTTCTATTGGGAAGCATGTACCATTATGCTTGAAGGTAAGCATACAGAGGACCTCTTCGAAGGACTTGGTTATGAGGATTAAGGCATGAATGAAGCAGGGGGCATCAATCCTCTTTTTTTTTGGGGGGGGGGGGCACTGAAATCAGAGTGTCCAAGTAGACTAGTAGAGCGTAGTGAGCGGAGCATTATACGGCTTGGGGGTCAACGTTTGGAGCTCGGACATATAGATATATACAACAATAGTTGTTTCCTGGTTATTTATTACATAATTGGTAATTGATTTAAAGGGATAGTTGAGTTCTATTTTTAGACCGCAAATGCCTTCAAAGTGC